GCCGCACATGACTGTGCAACACAGTGCGATATTTTTTGGTTTGTTCGTCTATTTCAAGGCATTGGCGGCATGAGAGAGAGAGAGAGAGAGAGAGAGAGAGAGAGAGAGAGAGAGAGAGAGAGAGAGCATCGATCAGTTGTCTGAGTGTCTCGACCAGGGATGAATTATCTGTTATATTTGTTTTTCTTGCGAGCGAAGCTGCAACAGGTCATTTAGTTGCTGTAAAAGTATATGATGTGTGAGTCTCTTTCTTGCGCAGATGTGAGCTGATGTGCTTGTCGTTTGTCTGGACTTTGCTGTAAAAGTAAATCCTCCTGTCAGAACATACATTCACACATTGTTGTGCTGTAAAGTTCCAGTTTACTATTCGGGTTTATAGATAGCCATTCACACGTTCCAAATGTGCAGGTGTCAACGATGTCCTCATTGTTAAACGGAAAAGAAAAGTATTGTTAAACCACCAGTACTTGGTCCATACATCGGCCGCGGGTTTCCCGTTATCGCGCCGTGACTGGTGGGCTTCGGCCTACCGGACCACAATGGCTGGAGGCGCCAGCCAAAAGAAAAGCGAAATGACGCGCCGGCGGCTTGGCAAAACCTGGCGGCGCAGGGCGTTTCCCAGCTCGGCATCAATAGCTGGGCCAAGTACAGGTGGTTTGAAAAGAAAAAGGAAAGAAAAAAAAGCAGGTTTTTATGGGCCTTAAATGGAAAGTATTGTAATGTTATAATTTTGGTGTGTTCAAAAGAACTGTAAAAGAGGCCTGGAAAAAAGATATGCAGAGAGGCATCTCGAAATTAGTAAAATTCGACTGAGAAAATAGAAGTTTCCATGTTAGCAACTTTTGGCTGAGAGGCATCTCGAAATTAGTGAAATTCGATGTACAAAAAGAAAATGAGTGAATTCTGATTTTATTATTATTATTTTGCCGGGGGGAAGAGGAGCATTCTGGGGTCCAGATAGATATCGAGACCGTTCAGACATGTCTCGGTTGGGGGCTGCAGTAAGCTTGTGCTTCAGGGAGATCCTCATTGAGAAGGCAGTTTGGGGGTTTCATCATTTGTGTGTTTCAGAGCATCTCACCCTCGTATGTTTCGGTTCTTCAAAGCACTGAGCAGTGCATTTGAGACATGTTACAGCAGTGGAATGACAAGTGGGGCTTGAGCGTGTAAGGAGGCTATCAGTGAGCAGCAGCTCATGCTTCATCATTCTTGAAGTGAGTTTGTGTCAGATGTGAGTGGGAGAGAGAAGGGGGAACAAAGACGAAAGGGAGGGAGATGCAGAAAAGCCACTGTGCATCATTGTATGTGTATGGGAGCACATACGTGTTATGTGGCGAGCGGCTGAAGAGACCATTATGTGCCAAAGCACTTGCCCGACTGCATGCATACCTTGTTCCATTTTGAAATACTAGCTTCTGTTGCTGCTTCTGCTGCTTTCTGAAACACCAGGTACCAGTGACGTCTAGGAAAAGGCCATCACCTGAGTTCTTGCAAGCACCAGATACTACTGTGGTCTAGCTTCTGTTCCCCTCTGAAATACAGGGTCCTGGTCAGGCTTCTGATCCTCTCTGAAATACCAGGTAGGAGCATGTGTTGCTTGAGTACATACGGTGTCAGAGTATGCTTGTGAGGGATTGAGTTTGGAAGTGTCGTTTGTTCTGTCTAATCAATTCTCTGTCCTTTATTGTGTCTAACTGGCCGCAAGCAGAGACACAGGCGCTAGCAATGGTGAACTGCATGGTTTCGACTCTAACAACAACAACAAATCAGCAGCCCAATTCCCAGGTTGAAGTTGGAAGTGGTACTGCCTTCTGATCAGTGTGGCATTGTGAGACATCAACTGGTGCAAGATTACTGTGTTTATATCCGAATTTGGATGCATGCACCGTTTACTATGTTCCTGTCTGAACTCGTTGAGCGTGTGCTCGCTCTCAAACGCGTGTGTTCAATTCCGCGCACTTTCAAACTTTGTTCAAACGTGCCATGTGGTGAGCGGGAAAAAATCGAACAGACGACCCATGACGGCGTGCTCATGGGGGGTGTGCAGCGTTTGTTGGGGGGGGAA